GACAGGCCTAAATCATATTCTAGTAACATTAAGGTTATTTTCCTTTTGTTTGTTATCTCATGATATAGGCCTGTTGTAAATTTCACAACAATTTTTTTTTATAATTGCATTACGATATCTATGTAACAGCTTTTCACGTTCCTAAAACATAGGCTAAAACACATTCTGTTCACCCAAATCCACGACGATCTCTTCGATCCTCTTTGAGAACACATCTGTATCTCCTTCGACATCTGAGTCTACAAATGTGTCTCGAAGAATGAGATGTGCCGCCAGGAACCCATACAGTGACGTAGAATCGACCTCTCGACGTAGGTCCGTGAGGTTCATTGTGCTGTTCAACCCCAGCCGACGCAAAGTGCGTACGAGAGACCGGTGGTACGTTCTCATGAAATCATCCATGTACCTATCCCTGACTGTTTCCGTGGTACTTGTGTAAAGGAAATAGTTAATGTCAAGGGCCGGTGACCCATAACGACACGTCTGGAAATCCAGAAACTTGACAGAAACTGGTTGTTCTTCTGAGTAGGAGAACATTATATTGTTTGTCCACAAATCTCCATGGATTAGGGTCGAAAACACTTCGCTTTTTTTCAGAAATCTTAGCAAGTGATGGTAAGTGTTATTTAGGATTTCTTCTATCTGTTTCGCATAGCGTGAAGCCTTTGTGCTTTTACGGATGATGTCGATTGTGCTGCTTGCAAGCTGTGCAAAATCATTTTCGTATATTGAACTTCTTTCTTTAGTGAACTGTACCTCTCGACTGACCTCATCCAAGGCATCGATTGCGTGTGTAGACTCAGAGTTCTTGAGCGCATAGGCTGCAGCGTGGAAGCGACCCAGTTCTGCAAATACTAGTTTGCAGTGGGCAGCGTCCAGACCTGCCTTGTGGTCACCTGTGCGGTAACCATGCGACGCGAGATCGTCCAGGACTATGAGGTCGTTGCTGTTATAATAGCTTATCGGGAACACGGTCAGAGGATTATCTTGGTGCATGGCGATCAGAGAAGGAATTACAGTCGAATACATGAGGGCCTCCTTTTTGAACAACTCCTTGAAGTTGAGTACCTGAAGGAAATTGGTTAAAAATAATAGAGACTGACTCATAGCAGGGCTAATTCATCAATTATAATGGAAGAAACATGTAACTGATACGTCTATAGACAGATAACAAGCTATTACAATAGCCTGCTATAACAGCCCACTCCAGTTTTCGTCTGCAGTTGGAGAATACATCGATAATAAGGAGATAATTGACTGAGACTGAACTTTGCAACTTTGTACCGCAGATAACGATCAAACTGCGATAGTTTTCAGAAATAACGTTGATTTTCGTTATTCCTTAAGGTCTGTTAAGAAACAACAATATGTATATTGGTGTCCCCAATTTAATAAGAAAGTATCGGAATCGATTTCTTCCTTTATCAATGAAATTTTAGTCTGTCAAAATAATGATACTGATCATCTAAAGACGATAGTGTATCAGCTCTTCAGATGCTATCATTCAAGAGAAGCGTTTGAAAATGTAACAATCAGATGTGTTCTGCAGAAACACCAGATATCGAAGGCCTTGGAGCCACGAGAGGCAAACCAGTGAAGTGACTTTTGAATGACTGGAGAGCAAAGTACAATGTCTAACAGACTTTCCTTCAGGGATGAGGCAAGTTGGATCGTGAACCTAGTTACTCATATATGATACTAAAGTCCAGCATACCGTATTTTGGTAAAAAAAATTATCCACACAGTTTCATTTGGTCTGTGTTAAGAGGTAACCAACACCTCATACTCACCCTGGCTTTTGGTGACGCGAAGTTTATTGACTTCAAGATGACATGCATGTGGGAGTGGTCAGTGCTGAGGACCTGGACACTCATAATGTTGCTGGTTTGGCTCGGGGTTCCCGCATGCTCCTGCTCCAAAGTGAAGCCGGCCACTTCCAATTCGCCGTACACACGGCCCAGTATCTCTTGAAAGAAACCATTGTGCAGCTGAGGAAGATTCCTCCTCGGTCTTACCCCCGTGCTCCTACCTGCTCTCGCAGGCCTCTGTGCGTCATCCACGTCGCCGGTGTCATCGTTCACCTGCCATCTTGTAGTCAGACTCCTCACCAGCCCACGAGGAACATTTTGCATGGCTTCTTTGCTCATTCTGTCATAGCAACGTTAATTTAATTAACAATTTTCCTGGTATATGTGTCGGTGAGAAATTCACAGTGTTAAGTTACTTAGTCCACATGCAGTACGGTACGGAAAAACGTATTACAGTTCTGTTAAAGTGATTTAGTTTGTGAATATTTTCACTTTTATTTACATTCTTTACGTAATGAAAACAGTAGGTCTGTTTGAAGTTAAGCTGTTGGTATTTCATTGTTGTTTTGTTGCTATGATTATTATTATTATTATTATTATTGTCGTTATTAACATGGTAAACTAAAGAATTATATTTAACTCTAATTTTAATTTAATTTAGCCGTAACGTGAAGCTAAATAGTAGTCTGCTTTAGTGTCAAGATTGAGATTTCCCCTTCAAAGTGTGATCTGACATCCACATATACTAATAATTATTATTATTATTATTATAAAATAATTGAGTCCATAGAGCCTTTTTCGGTGATTAATTACATACTATTTAAATTTTCTTTCCCGACAAAACTCTCATATTTTGCTAGGCACACTCATTTTGAAGTAACTAGGTTGCAGAAATAAGTTGTTTTTCTGTACTGAACTCCAAACTCTGGCACTCGCATAGAATATGAACGTCTCCTTCTAGGAAAGAGGCTGTGAGGAAATTTTCTAAAGTTTTCAATAGCCGTGAAAAACTTAAGCAGGTTTCACACTCGTGCACGAAGTACAGAAAGTTCTGTGTAAATGAGTCGTAAAACGTTAGTAAGTACTGTGTGATTGTGTCTGTGCATAATCTCTACTACTTTCAATAACGCTCGTATGTCTGTCCTACTTAATATTTTTAACAACTGGACAGATTTTCGTGAAATTTAGTGTGGCTGTCATGCTGCTAGAATAGTCACCTTTGTATTTTTATTTAGTAACCAGAAGGTAAAGGTTTTATTTCAGGAACTTAGAACTACGGCGCTAAGGGCAGAATGGCTACACAGCTCAAAAGCTTTCGAGCGGGTCAGACATAAAGCGCGAAGTTTTGGCCTGCACTCGATGACGTTTGGGTGCGAAAGCTTCTCGCGTAAGGGTCTGGTGGCCATGTTCACTTTTATTGTAGCACGCATTACTAGAAGTGGTATAATTCAATGTTTTTAATCGGTGATCTGTTGACCTGTGGTAAGCGGCTTAATTGTTACCATTTTCTTCATCGTTAATACTATTGAAGTTGTCTGCTGTCCATTCGCAAGAATATCTACATTACGGTTTTTTGCATTTGAGAAATAACGTGTTTTAGTTGTTAGCGTTGAGAAGAACCCGAGTTCGATCCCAATTTTTGCCACTCATATTAAAATAGGATATTAATAAAATTATTAATGAAAATCATTCTCTTCAAGACGGGAGTAAAGCCAAGTCCCGAATGACATGTACCGAAAAATCAAACAGATTACAGTAAATGGACAGTACCCAGTATAATAAACCTGTTAGTATGAATGACTCTGCCATTTGAACAAATCGTTATCAGGCCATTATAAATGAAGAATTTTGCATGGTAAATAAAATTCGACATTGCATAGTCGTCTCCCAGCCCTTCACCCTTTTATTGTACCGACCAGAATAGACGTTTATCACCCTCTTTCTCAATATCTGACACAAATATTTAATATAGAGTTTATCGATAATCACTGATTTACTAGGTTAAAGTAATTTACATCTGTGCTTCGTTAATACGTCGTCTTCCGCTGCCCCTTCTCGTAAGAATTTTAATTCAACCATATCCATTATTATTATTGTGAATTAACGTAAGACTGCCGTCTAATTATAGGCCTATTGACTAATATGTGAGATATTGCCTTACCCTCTCCTGTCCATTGTCTCGACCAAACACTGTGGCTGATGAGATGATTGTGAGTCCAGTTAAACGGATTCGTAGGAAGGTCTCCCGGAGATTAGATTACAATGAGCAGTTTCGATACTTTTTTGTGATTTTAATCTATCATTTGCATCTATTAACCCATCATCACACGTGAATATGCACAAAATCACAATTACTATTTCGAGATAAAATATCGCAAACCATATACTCATGAAACGCAAGTTTATCTCTTAAAATGAAGTTTTTCTATGCACACACTCATGTATCTGCGTACTTTCGTTAAGAGTAAAAGTTTAAAATTACAGTAACTTGAAAACATTTATAATTTAAGAAAAAGTAAAATTTCTCTCGCCACATTTATTTAAAAATTTTCAATGGCAGAGAGACAGGACAAAAGCTGGGACAAATGGAAATACTGAAAATTTAATTGCTGATTTAAAGTGTAATCGTAAGTCGGGATATTTCAGTATTGAGTCATGAGCTATCAGTATAAAAAGAAGGCATGATTCAGCCTGCCGTTGTTGTAGTCACAGATAGCAGATTGTAGTGATGGCTGCTGGTCAAATCTGCACGTGCATCCGACGCGTACCATCCACTTATAACCACCTGAAATTTGCAGATGTCCATAGTCGTTACTCAAGTCACAGTGACATTGAAACATTTAAACACCAGGATTCGTTTTAAAACTAAATAAACTATTAATATATAATTAAATAAAACAGCTTGGAAAACTGTAATATCATTGTGGCCTGTAATATATTTAATGGCCTCTGAACCGGTCTTGGTGAAATGTAGTATAAAGTTAGTGCTAAGACTACCAGCCAACCAAAAGTAATAAGTAGAACCTCATTTAGTAATTGCAATCAATTATCAGTCATTGTACTAAAAGAAATAAAATTTTTGTTTGCTTTCATACTCCTGAAAAATTCTGAGTCTGTGAAGATTTCATTCTTTCATGGATTTAAGTTACGAAGGTAATAGTTATTAAATTTGTTTGTTTTCTTTCTGTACAGAATTGAGTGAAGAATGGGCTCTTGCAAGTAACAAGGACTGTGAATCACAGCTTCTAACAGATGGTGTCACATTCATGGTCAAATATTTGGGGAGTGTATTAGTAGAAGCTCCTAGTAACGATGAAGCTACTGCGGAAGCCATAGACACTATCATGACTATGGTGAGAGAAGATTATAAAATGTTACATAATCCCTGTTGCATGGGATTGGACTTTGTAGCTTTGCATGTTTAGCCACAAAACCTGAAATCTTCAAGGTTAACATTAAATGCAATATTGTATTTATATTGCACAAATATTATATTGGATGTTGTCCATTATGTGAGGTATAGGTGGTACTAGCGGGACCCATGGTAACTGTTAAATATAACATTAAACAGGGATATATAGTTTTCTGTTTTTTACATTCAAAGAAACTAGTAAACTTTCTCATGTTACAACAAAGGCCATCAAGAACTACAGTCCACAGACCAGGAGAAAAGCCCTGCTAGGAATTCGATATACACGCATGCGCAAGATTTCGTGGTGAGTGATGACCCATCCAAAAAGCATTTGTTCCTCAACCACTGAATGAACAACAGACAACAGGCTTTCATGTGTTCTAATGGGTACAGCTTTAAGATTACCTCACAGCAGCACAGCGATTTAATCTAGAATATTATCACAACACCCACAGAACACAGAGCAGGTGCACTCATTACACGCTACTCTTAACTGCTTGATGTTTTCAGTCTGTGTGTAGTAGCGTAAAACTTTGACGTATCACACTTCCCACCAATAGCAGCCCTCTAGTCCAGCTGATAGTAAACATTCCCCTGCACCACCCCAGAAACGACTTCCCCCCCTCAGGGCTTTTCTCCTGGTCTATGGACAGTACACTGTGGGTCATAACACATGTTAGACATAGGCGGCAGTGGCTTTATGATCAGTGGTGCAAACCATAGGTCCAAGAATTCCTCAACACCGTAACTATAGCAATTGTTTTAATAATTTAAATATAATGCACATATATAGTCATACAAACATTATCACAGAACGTGAATTACTGATGCATAACAGACACACATATTTCGTATGAAGATGATTGGTTGTCTTTGTACTGATCTGACTAGGAAGGTCCTACCATAGCTACTGGTAGGGCCTCTCTAGCCAGATTGGTCAAGGGGCAGAGGTCAGTCTAAGAGAGGTACCCTGGTCCTCCAGGTTGGGGGTTGGTCGCAAGGCTAACAACCTTGCACCGTAAAAAGGAAGATGTTTCGAAACCTCAATCAAGGCCATGGACCGAATATGGACCGGAAAGCCATAGAAGAAGAAGAATATATTATTGCTCCTTTATTTTGATGTTAGTGGTTGCAGTTAGGATTGAACCTGGAACTCTCTGAATATTAGGCTGGTATACTAACCACTATAAACAACCAGTTGACTAAAGCAATAAAAAACTTTTTTCAGGTCAATGTAAGTGGAAAGAAACTACAGAGAGTAGAATTGTCAGTGGACCTCCATGGTATAAAAGTCGTTGATCTGGGCACGGAAGATACACATCTTGAGGTTTCTATATACAGGTAAGATAAACATTATTATGACTCAGAATTCATTACTGCCATAAAGGTACTCTTTGTTCTGACTTTGTTGTACTTATTTGGCTTATTTAATGACACCATTAGTAACTGAATGTCGCAGCTGAGTGAATAATACTCCAGCTTTGTATTTGGGAGGTTTTGGGTTCAAGTATCAGCCTAGAGACCGAGTATCCCGACTGAGGTTTTCTAGGCAAATGTCAGGATGGTGCCATGAGTTATGTTATGATTGCTTCATTCCAAATCCTTTTCCACCTCATCCTTCATTAACTGTCCTATCTTGTGACAGTATTTATTTTAGTCTGAACTACTGACTGTTGTTAAATAAACCAAAAATAAATAAAATGAGACACTGTTAGTAGCTCTGACTATGTAGCAAAAAGCTCTATTATAAAACTTGACCTCAGTAGTAATAGTGGTAATAGTAGTAGTTGTAGTAGTACAAATAAAAACTTCTGCAGCATATCATGATGATCACTTTTCTTCCAGGCAAAGTTCCTGGTGCCATTAGATAAGAGGCTAGTAATATTACTACTGCTAACTCCATGGAGCAGGGTGCTTCTTGAGAAGCTGATAGTCATTCAGCTGGTCAAGAAATTACCATGTTTTACAAGGGCTTGCTACTGGACCCTATCCTGAGAAAGGTGAATCCAGTCCACACCCTCACACCCTATTTGTTTAAGATCCATTTTAATATTATCCTCCCATGTATACCTTAGTCTACAAAAATGGTGTTTTTCTTCAGGATTCTAATTAAAGTTTTGTGTGCATTTATCTCACTTGTGCATGCTACATGTCTTGATCGTATCAATCTATTTAATTTGATTACCCTAATATTTGGTGAGTCTCGTCCCATAGCCGCACGGTCTGAGGCATCATGCTTCGGACCGGCGATACAGAATGCGCGCTGGTTCGAGTCTCGGGGGAGAAGAAATTTTCTCATTTGCTTTCGACCAGTGTATGGGACCGGTGCCAACCCAGCATCGTGAGGAAATTGGGGAGCTACAATAAGTAGTGTAAGCCGGCCATGGAAACTAGCAATGGCTGGGGGTTCGTCGTGCTGACCACACGTCATCCTATATCTGGTCGGATGATCGTTCACCTCTGCTTAGGCATGTGAACGTGAGGCCAGCAGCCAGCTAGTCGGCTTTGGCTCTCAGAGGGCTGTTACGTCACGGATTTAATTTATTTTTTTTAATATTTGGTGAAGAGTACAAATTATGAAGATCCTTACATCTTCCTGTTAGATCCAAATAATTCTCATAAAACCCTCAATTTGTGTTCTTCCCTTGTGATGACAGACTTGAGTTTCACACCCATATGACACAGGTAAAAAATAAGGTTTATTACAGTAGTAAAACTTGTTTAAAACAGAAAGTGGATGATCTGGATGTTTGTTTAGTTATGCTGTAAATTTAGAGCTACAGTTTCATGTTGAAACATGCATGAATCATGTTCTGGTGTGTGTACTATAAGAAAGAGTGAAAGGACTGATTTGACCAATCTTCTTTACTACAATATTTTGTTTTTAATATACTGCTGTACTCCAAAACACATATAGTAACTTGGTTTGCTGCGATAACATGTCACAACAGACAGAGTTCTGGGATCTTTTTCGCCAAACAAAACCAAAGTGTGATTAAAATATTATTTTAAAGTGCCAAAATATTTTCAGTTCAGAACTTTTCAAAACCAAAGTTCTACAAATCTTATTTTAACATGATGTATAAAAGTATATGCAAGTAATCAATTATGTCAGTGTTGGTTTTCTGTGTTGTAACACCATATGAAAATGGAGGTAGATACCAACTTCAGCCCTAAAGATGAAGGCTGTATCTTCTTCTGAAGCAATGTCCACATGGTGTCACAACCCAGAAGACCAACAATGACATCATCTCCTTTTTCAGAACCTACCTCTTTTAGAGTAACTAATTATTTTGTTTCCTGCTTTTAGGATTTCTAATTGCTCTGCTGATGCTGCACATGATCGTGTTTTTGCTTTCATTGCTAAAAACACCAATGAGACAATGGAGTGTCATGCATTTCTTTGTCATAAAAGAAAAATTGTAAGTGAAAATAAGATTTACTTACAAATAAACTGACATATAAGTAAACAGTACAGGAAATCACTGTGTATTATACTAGCTGTCAACTTTTAATTACTAAGCAAAAGGAAAGAAACATTGTTGGAGCTTGCAAGATGTGTAAGTAAACATGTTTAGTATGACAGAAAGGTTATATAAAGCCAGTTTATATTAAAACTAGTTGCATAAAAACAGCTGCAGGCTTGACAATAAAAGAACACTTTGAGAATAATTCATTCATTTATTACACATTTTTATTTTGTTTATAGTAATTTTCAACATATGTTATAGATTTGACAAGGATTAATAGCATCATTACTAATTATAATGAAGAGAAGTGAATGAATGTACCAGGAAGTGCATGCTCTTGGCAGGATTGTGATAATATGCATTGGATTGAACTACTTCAGAATATGATGATCCGTTGATTGGCACTTAAGATAGCAATACTGGACATTTGGTTTATAATGCTAGATTTAAGTGCATAAATGTTCTTGCTGACTTACATAGAAACATTACACACACACACACACACACACATGTGCTCATTTGTGATATTTCCTTATATCTCCCCTTTATTTTCACATTTTGACTTTGTGTTACCCATTGATGCAGGAAATTCAAAGTAAATGCATACATGTACATTTTATATATATATATATATATACATATATGTCAGCATACAGAAATACCATTTTATTTTTGAGATGTATAGAGATGTAAGGAGAGTCTAAGAAACCTAGTACATGAATGAATTTAGTTAAAAGTAGTATATAGTCATATTAAAAGAGAATGTGATGATCATCTATACATATGGTGATGAGGAGACTACATGCCACAACATAGTCACTAAATGGTTTTGTTAAAAAAGCCATATCATAGAAATAAATATCATGTATATCATTTCAGAAACAATAACATGAGAATTAAAAATCTGTTTCAAAATATTATCAGCAGATAACTCATTATCTCCATCGAGGCAATGGGGATGGCTTGTATGCCTTCTTCTTGGTAAGGCACTTTATATATAAATCTGATGGCAGGTACATCTTCTGCCTTACCTGAACAATTTTGAATTAGTATACATTTACTCCGTAAATGCAGAGACAGGGACTGTAAGTAAAATTACACAGTGTATGGACAGGTGCTACTATTGCAGAGTGTTATAATATGTTAATAGTACTAATATAAATATTTGTTCAATAACAGGCACAAACAATCACATTAACAGTGGCACAATCCTTCAATACAGCCTATGAATTATGGCAAATATCACAAGAGACCTCCTGTCTGAGGAATCAAGAACTTAGGTCATGTCATGAAGTGAAGAAAATATCAAGTAATTATCGGTTTGCTTGGATTATATTCAAATCTTCAATACAAATTAAAATTCATATATATGTAGCTTTAATGAAATTGTGTAAACCTTTTTATATTTCAAATGGCTATTGAATATATTTTTTACATCAGTTAATACAGTGATAAAATGGATAAGGGGGTACATGCTGCATAATTTCAGATGAAACCAGTAACTGTATTATTTTCTACAATTTTGTAACAGTGGTTCACTATATCACAATTATGTTGGACATTGTCAGTTTCTGAGGCATATTTGATGTACACAGTTGTTCAGAAGTTGGCTTTATACCAGTCTCTGGATTTGTGAGTGTCATACAGATATATTTTATTTATTTATTTTTATTTAGAGATTCGTGATAATGGTAGGGTCAAACCTGGCAGTCATTATATTGACAAAAAGTCATTTGAATAAGAGAGTGGATCTACATATCAAAATGTTATGTATATCAAATATAGACTACCTTAGACAATTGGCAATCTCTAGGATAATTGTAATATAATTATTTTATATTGTACAAAACTGTGTTATGGATGTACAAGAAATATTATGATATTGCATACCATTTCAAAGAATAAGCTTTAAATAGGCCTGTTTCCCATGATGGTATTTCTGGTTGGTGCAATGGTAAAGTAGAGATTGACTCTGGAATCTCATTTGTATATTACAAGTTTGTTGATCATTAAATAACACTCAAGTAAATAAACAATGTAAATAAACCAGAGTTGGATCCTTTATCTAAAGTACAAGCACAGAATGTAAACAATATCTTAACATAATAATATAATCACATAATGATTAAAACAATTACATTAAAAAATTGAATGAAGTGTTTTAGCAATATTAATTTTGTTATGCATAATCATAAACTCATGTGGCTGGTTTTCCTGACAGGTTCGCACAACAAAATTAAAGACAGTAGTAGTAATCTTCAGCACATGAGTGAAAGTAAGACCTTATTAATTGATCTGTCACCAGAATCAGAGACATTGACTGAAAATGGAAACTCCTGGGTAAGTAAATATAAAAATTGTGAGATTTTAAGTTTCTGTAGCAGTGAAACTGTGGAATGTAGTCTCCTAAGTTATGTCTTGGTGACAACAACAAAAATCCATTTTTGACTGAAATTTTGTGTTTGTCTTGTTAATTCACAATAAATGTTTTTTGTCCACCTGATAAAAGTGATAGAGACTATCATAAGGTCATGTTGGGTAGAACCATGGAAACGTTTTGGTTCAGAGGGCCAAGCATGAATTATAAGAACCACTATCACACCAAGACTTCCCTGTTAACTGGTAGACACAAAAAGTATCAGTCCATTTTTCCTATGGATTATCTCCTTACTATCTAAATCATTAAGAATATTTTGTGATTGTTATTTGCAGGTTTGCTTCGATGATGACAGGTCTGAGAACTTAAACTCTAACTTTACAAGGTTTGTTATCTTGTATATATTAATGGTAATGTTCAGTTTAGGAGAATCTTATAATTGGGCTCAAATGTGGTTGCTGTGCAAACAGTTAATAACATTTCCTTATTCATAAAATTATTGAGGTTTGTACCAGCATGGGTCATCTTATGACAAAGCTTTCTTGATCCATTTCTCTTCTCCCATAAGTGCTCCTTGTTTATCTACATTCATATTTTCCATATTTCTTTATTCCTTACAAATGGTTGTTATTTCTGAATTTTTAATTAGAGGCATGTTATATAAATGTACAGAAGAAATAGTTCAGATTTTGTCATTTTACTGATACTACTACTGACACCATCATACCTACCACCACCACTACTATTATTACTACTATGTGGTCAAATTAAATTCCAAGTAGTGCCCTAAGTTCATTCATTAATATAATAAGAAGAAAAAGTACAAAGACATGACATCAAACAGCATATTAAGACTCAAACCTTGTCACTAATACAGAATGTAAGATATTACAGAAAAGTTATGAATTCTTCCTGCTACTGTTGCAGGCATGCAGTTCACAGGCATAACATACTATTATATGTAGGTGAGCAAAATGAAGAAGGGGGTACCAACCTTAGTTAAGTCACACAGATATTTAAATGTCACCAACATGAAGATAAGTGTGCTTTTGCCACAATCAAAGCTATTTCTGGGACTTGGTATACTTTTTAAACCTTATTGTCTTTAAAGATAGTTTATTTGAACTGGCTGTGTTTGCCCAGTGATCATTACTGTATTGCTTATTTCAGAATAACAAGTAGTCTGACACAAAAGCAGAACCCAGTTATCAATTCTCCACAGCACCATCTGCACATCCTTGCCAGCAGTAATGGTCAAAGCAGTAATGTGACTAGTGGATGGGAAGACAATCACTCCAGCAATTTTCCCTGGTCTTAGCAGCATCCATCTCAGGTTGGCTCACTTTATCCACCAAATGATGTCACATTCTTGCA